GCAGTAGTAAGCAGCAGTAGTAGCAGGAGTAGTAGCCGGAGTAGTAGCAGTTGCCGTAGTCGTAGGAGTAGCAGCAGCAACAGTGATAGTTTCTGCAATTGTAGTTTTTCTTGCCCACGTGGTAAGTGGCAGCAGAATTAGGTATATTCGTCGTCGTCCAAAGGGGAGTTTGTACGTGTCTGCGTCGTTGCCGGACTATGGTCTTGTATATATATATATACCCACATATATCTGTTTAAATAAATATATATATATGTGTGTGTGTGTGTATGTGTATATATATATATGTATGTATGTGCGGTCTCTGCTGTAGGCCAGAAGAGGCCGATGCAAGGGCCACCGTTCTGCCACTAGGCGCCTGAATAATCGCAAAGCTAGTCAGCTAGTTACACGATGACGATTAAGGCGAGGAGCACTCGCAGAAGTAGTAAGCAAAGACCAAACAGCATCCCTCGAAAGCTGGGTCGTGCTAAGCCGCATTGCGCAAAAGGATCGGAACTCTTCTCCTGCTGCGGGCAAGCTGGAATGCTCGGAAGCAGACGGCTCGAAGCAGCTTTCGGCCCTAAAGACTTCAACGGCTGAAGCTTCGCCGACTAGCCAAGTTAGACAGCAGTTCCATGTCCGCCTGCTCGAGATCAACTGGGCAAACTTATCAGAACTGCCCCGCTGCTAGAGGGCCAAAGACTCTACGGCGCCCCTTCATGCATGTCCGGAGTTCCTCCTCCGACAGTTGCGGCCATCGCCTGGGCTAGCAATGCATCATGCTAAAGATGCAGCGGCAGGGCGAGAGATACAAGGTGGCTTGTTGTCCGGTGGCTAGCCGGACGCATCAAAACACAGTACCGACAGTCGAGGTCTTCGCTCTGCAGACTCGAGGAATGCATGTGCATCCATCCACCCATGGCTGCATCTTCCACCGACCGGTTAAGCATAACCATTTCATCCATCCATCCGGTGTGCTCATTTATACAAAAGTAGGTGTATATATATACATGTGTATGTATGCGTGTATGTACATATATATATATGGGATTATTTAGATAGAGCACTGGACGCGGAGAAATGTTGAAAACAAGTTCTGCAACGGAACCACAGAGAAAGAACAGCGACTCGGAGAACACGTGCCCAGCTTCGCAAAACATCCGCGATGCAGTAAAAGCAAAGGACAGCAAGCAGGAGACTCCGGGACCTTCAGGCGGGAAGGTCGCAAACTCTGAAAGAAGAACCGACCTGACCCCGGAGCCCGAAGGAGCTGTGGCTCTGAACCCTGCACCGCAGCCACAGAGCTTGGAATCCCGAACACCATGCCTCCACTTTCTGGGCTGGTTTCCTTCCGCCTCCTGACCCCCCAAGAAAGCCTAACAAACATAGCTCCACGGCTAAACGCTAAATTAAATGTATGGTATACTGTGTATACGGAACATGCAAGGCTCTTGGAAACTCTGCACATCCCGTGAACCCGAAAACGAAACATTGGCTGGTAAACCCCAAACCTGAAAATTGAGGTTGGAAAACGTCCTGGGCCCTAGAATAACATCGAGGGCGGCAGACTGCAAACCCCAAAGAAAAATACTGCCTGGCGAACCCTGAACCGTAGCCTGACATTATACTCGGAGATTTTAGCTGGCAAATCTGTTAGCTGGCAAATCCCGAAATCCTGCAAGAAGGCATCAGTGGCCAAGCCCCACAACCTGAAAGGAGATGTTGGTTGGCACCGTGAACCCTCAAACTAAGCTTGTGGGTGACAAACCCCAAACCCCAAAGGGAAGAACACGTTGGTTGGCATGCCCTTAGGAAGAAAACAATGGTTGGCACGCCCTACAACCTCAGAAAAAACTTGGGGATGCTAATCGGCAAACTCCGCAAGCCCCAAACTCTAAAACAAGGAGATGTGAGTTGGCAAACACAAACTCCAACCGAAGACGCGGCTGGCAAGACCCAAACCCTCAAGGGAGATGTTGGCGGGCAAACCCCGACAAGAAGATCGTTGGTGGCAAACCGAAACCCAAAAAGAAGAGACATTGGTTGGCAAACCCTAAACCCTAAAAAGCTAGAAAGATCCTAAAAAGAGATGCTGGTTAGCAGAATCCCAAACCCTACAAGAAGCTCGTGAGTGGCCGGCCCCAAGCCCTAAGACGGACCAACCCTAAATGAAGATCGCGGGCAGCAAACCCCAAACCCTACAAGAAGAAATTGGCTGGCAAATCTGACCTTGGCATTACGTTGTTACATTCTTTCTAGCGGCACACTCTCTCACGCGCTCTCTCTCTCTCTCTTTCTTTCGCCAGGGCTGTGGGCAGGAGTAGACTCTCTCTCTCTCTCTTTCCCGCTGCCGTGGGTGCCGTCCTCGAGGGTCGGGCCAAAAGAAGATCGCGAGTGGCTGGCAAACCCTAACCAGTGGCCTTACATTATGCTCTGAGGTGGTGCACGGCAATCAAAACGCTTTTGATGCTGGCTTGTAAGAAAGAACGCCTGGTAGTTAGCCACTCGTCCGCTCAATCAAAACCCCAAAGGAGGAATTATTTGCCAAGCCCCAAATTCTAGAAGGAGATGCTGCGGATCGGCTCAACCCCAATCACAGCAAGACATGAATTGGCCGGCAAACCCTAAACCGCTTAAACCCTACAAGGAGATGTTGGTGGCAAACCCCGGGCCCCAAATACGACGGCAGCTCTGCACGGCGCTGTGCGGATGCAGGGCTCGGCAAGGGCTGTGCAGCAGGAGGGTCGGCCGCAACAGCGAAAGAAGTAGCAGCGGCAGCAGCGGCAGCAGCAGCAGGAGCAGCAGGAGCAGCAGCAATATCATCTGAGTGAGAAGCAGGGGAATGATTCGGCTGAATCGGAACTCTGATTTTTTTGCATCTGTTTTCGTGAACCGGCCGCCCGCGTTTCTGCATCGTTCGCCCAGCTTTCCGAATGTGGTTTACTGCACCTGACCATTTTCCACACACGCCCTACTCTCGTAGAGAGAGAGAGGCAATTAGAGAGAAAAAGAAGGGAGAGAGACAGAGACAGAGACAGAAACAGAGACAGAGACAGAAACAGAGACAGACAGAGACATGGAGGGACAGAGACAGAGAGAGAGAGAGAGAGAGAGAGAGCGAGCGAGCGAGCGAGAGAGGGGAGAGAGGAGAGGGGACGGGGAGAGGGGAGAGCGGAGAGCGGCGAGGTGAGAACACAGAGGAGAGAAGAGAAGAGGAGAGAGAAGAGAAGAGACAAGAGGGGAGAAGAGAGGAGATAAGAGAAGGGAAGCGAAGGGAGAGAGAAAGAGAAAAGAGAGACCGATAGAGATCGGTATGCACCGGCGTATGTACTCCGCACATTATGTGTTGTCTGTTTGCTTTTCTGATATACTGCCTGAGTTCAGTCAGGTGAATCCGTTGGCTTACATGGCATACTATTCTCGAAGACAGACAGACCAACAGACAAGCGGACGGACGAACGGCGGACGGACAGAGGGACAGATGGACGGACAGATAGACAGTCAGACAGGCAGGCAGACGGACATTCAACAGAAACATCTGATGACACACATGAGTGTAGTGTAGGCACATGTTCATCACCGTGCGATGCGCTGCATGCCCACGAAGCCGCAACCATCTAAGTGCAGAGGGAAAGCCGAAGCTGGGGTTCGAAGGCCGACAGGAGGCCCTCCAGATTCGGCAGCAAGGGCCCGCACCTCGCAAAACTGAGTTCAAGAAGCATACAGCCTTGACCGAGGGCTCCATGAACACCATGAACACCTTTCTTTGAAGCAAAGCAGGGCTCTACAGCCTTGCCTGCCCCTCCAACCATAGCCCGTGCAAGCCAGAAGCCAACTGCCTACTACACCCAGAAGCTGCAAACGCCAGCTGCCGGAAGAAAAAAGCTGCGCCCTGGCCCCGGACCCTATCAGCCTAGCTCCAACTTCGAAAGCGATGATGACCTTTGGCTTCTCCGTCTACTAGCCAGCCAGTTACACGCATGTGCCCCTGCCAAAGCTAACAGGACAGTGGGCCAGATGCAACAAAGCTTTGAACCCCCCCCCTCCCGCTAACTGGGATCCACGATCATTTGTGCTCTCCGCCGCTTGCGCAAAACTGGGCCATCGTCCGGTTCATGGTTTGATGCCGACAATCGCAGGACGAACTACCGCATAGTCTGAGCAGGAATGAGAATCTGAAAGCATTCAAAGCCATGGTCTATTCGTTGCCATTGAGCGTCTTCTGAATCTTATGACCTATTCCCTCACTCCCGACTTGACTTTGGAGGAAGAGGGCGGCCTCCTCTTTGTTCCATTAGTGACAGCTTTGCTTTCTGATGGCTCCAATGCGCGTGTTTTTTCCCGTGCTTCTGTCGTGAAGACTCGGCTTCCGTGCCTGGCAACTCATCGGACCCTTCAGACGGCAAAGCATGACTACATGGACGAGGCACAGGAGCTTTAGCAAGCACCAGAGCAGACTCTCTATGACTTTGCATTATGCCTCCATGCAACCCGACAAAGATGCTCTCGTCAAAGCTGAAAAGGCCCCTGTCGAAACAAGGCTCAGTTGACGCTGCAGCACATACCGCAAGCCGTAGAGGAAGGTTGAAATCTAACGTAACATTGCTCTGTTCTGCAGGTGCATCTATTCTCCGGTCCCTCAGGAAAGCCAGACCCTATGTGCTTTGAGTGGTGAAACGTGGCAGGGAGCAGCTCTGAGTCGACTTCGACCATTTAGGCAGAAAATTGCGACTCGGCATCACTTGTCACGTGAAAAACTCTTTGTCAAATCTGCTCGCCTGCCATTTGCAAGATTTGAGCAAGAGAAAGCAGAGTCGTCTGTCTGCTGGACATCTGCCCGTGTCACGTGGCTCTGCACGGTTTGCCAGGCCGAGGTTTGCGCATCAAACTTTAGAAATTTGGCTTAGACTTCTGTCCAGCAGCAGGCAGGTGGCATAATCTGCGAGCTGGCCGTGCCAGCACTACGCATCAGTGAGAAGGGAAAGGGCCACACAAGTCCCTCTCGCCGAGACTGACTCTCAGTTCGCCTGGATGGGCAGCCGCTTGGATCATTGAAGGAACGGTCCCGGTATTGAGAGCTCTGCTTTTACCACATGGCTAAAAGTAGCTCTGACACTGGCAATGCACCCACTAGTACCAATGACAACAGCAAAATCAGTATGGTGGCAGCCTTAGAAGCAATATACAAGCAGTACCAATCGAGGGAGACGAAGGCTCGGAAAACGCCTGAAGGGTTTGAAGCGCTGCGGCGAGCTGCACACTGCAACCTGCATGTCTGACTTGGCCTGGACATCCACGACCTCGCCCTTCTTGTCGATCGTCTTGTCGATGAACTCTAGAAGCCCCTGGAGGTACCTGAAGCTGAATCAGGCTTCAGATAACCAAGAAGTCATTCTGAAACGGTGTTCCCCATGGAGAAGCTATCGTTCGGTGACGATAGCTCCGATACCTGCCATGCAACACCCGCCCTCACCTCTGCTCGAGAATTGCAGCAATTGCAGACTTTTCAATTGCAGCAGGTCTCCTCTGCACAGGCCGGTGTTCTGCTCAAAAACGGCTCCAGAAGCCCCCAAACCCGAAAACCCCACCCTCCCTCAGAAGCAAAAAAACAAAAGCAACGGAATGAGCAAAGCCCGGCAAGCCTGGGGGCAGCACAAGGCACCAGAATCGAGCTGCCGCAGGCTCCGAAGCTACAACTCAAAGACCCACAACTTCTAAAACTTCCCCATAGACACTCCCGAACTCGACAACTGATGATCCCTGCACCCGAAGTAATCGTTCTTGGGTCCTCCACGCCTAAGCTTTGCTTCAGCAGAACCGGCCCCAGAACCGGCCCCAGGCTCGAGGCCCGGACTTGGCCGCGTAGATTTGCAGCTTGGAACCCATGGGCAAGCGGATCACCTCAGGGCTTGTCGTCCATGGTTGGAAGATGTTCCTCCTCCTTCTTCTTCATTTCAGGGTCTTCTCCGTGGTGTGTTTGAACGGTTTCTAGCATGGCATCTGTCAGTATGAAATGCTGTGGTCATTACTGGTCTTACTAGTTCCGCTCCACAGCTCAGAGCTCGGACAATCCAGGTGAAGCCTTTGAGGTCGGTCGGCTGCCACGCACCACCCACCCACCCACCCCAAAACTCTCTGGCCGGTTCGCCGCATGAGATAGCTGGATAGCCATCTTTGGCGTAGGCACGGGGGCGTAGACTGTTGATGAGGGCAAGGGGCTTTAGAATGGGTCCTAGCTCTGCGCATGTAGCGGTTGAGTTGTGACCTCTGGGCTTAGCGAGATCATTGAGGCCAGGCCACCTTTCGCCTCGGATGTCTAGTAAGAGCGTTGTGGGGACCCTCTGCATCTCGACGAGGGTGTGGGGAACAGGTGGCAGTAGCTGCTGGTCACGGACTGTCCGAAGCATGGAGCCCGGTCAAGGTAAAGTGCCTGTCTGATTCAGCAAGGGCTTGAGGGCAGACAAACTTGTTGCGTTGCTACTTGGTAACATCGAGTCAGAAAGCAACTTCACCGAATAAGAAGCTGAATTACACAGGTACGTGATGGCGCGCGGGCAACGATTTCACAGTTCCCCAGCTTGGGACGCGCTGCCTACTGCTGGGATCATCAGGCCAAGCATGCACGGACGGTGTCAAGATCTTGAACATGGAAAGTCAGGGTTTCTTGCTCACGTCTCAGATTCTCAAATTATGCTTCTGGGTGTCGGGATTTGCTTGCAAGGTTTTTCCCACCCGCTTCAGGGCCTAGGGTTTAGATTTTGGGTTAATGCTTGCCGAGTTGCCTTGGTCTCGCTGATGATCCTTGGGCTTTGAAAGCTTGAGGTCAGGTGTGGGCAGCGTGTCGGGGCGAGTGACTATAACATAGTGGGTCTAGTCCAGGCTGACGAACCGTGAATCTGCCAATCCATCAGAACCCAGGATGCCCGCACATGCACCCTCCAGACGTTCCAGGGAATGTCGCATCGCACCCTCCGCCCAAGAATCGACCAACCTGGCCCTGGCAGAGTTAGTACTGCATCGTACACTTTATGACTGCATGAAACCCTGGCAGAGTTTCTCAGATTCTTCCGAGAAGCTTGATCTCCTCTCGCATCTTCATGGGATCTACCGGGTCCTGCTCGTACATGAACCTCGGCTCCAGCGGACTCGAGGCTTTTGCGCCAAGACCTTTCCATGCAGCATCGATCTGCGGGCCCGCTTCCAACACAACCCCAACCCAGAACCCTTCGCAAGCGAAGCCCTCGCACACTCCTCTCACGAGAACGCAGCACAGAACCGCAGCCAAGCTTCTGAGTTTCCCATTGCTCGTGCGCGATGCTCATCAGCCGAAAAAGGAATCTGCCTTCAGCAGTCTCCTGGCATCCATGACATAAGTCTTAAGTCAATCATGAAGGCACAAAGGTTAGCAAAACTATGCGAAGCTCACGTACAGGCCGTATAGGCGTATGTAAGCCTTAAGCCCATCTTTCACATCCATCAGGTATTTGAGTCGGGGTGTATCGTTGCCCTCAAGCATGTTGGAACACTTGATGTCAACAGCCTCTGGAAGGAAAGCGATGCGTCTGACAGCATGCAGATGAATGGGGTATTGTGCTGAGTCGCGCAGGTTCATACCACTCTTCATCTGTCACCCGCAAACAAGGTGGATGAAAGAAGATAGCGCGGGGGCTCCAAAGAAATGCTAGGGCGCGTTTGAGAAATCAGTCAGTCATAAATGCTGATGAAATGTCTACATGAATGTGCCTTTGAAAGGTAACTCCGGCGAAGGATGCGGCGGCCTCCCATATGCTGTCGTGTCGGAGCCACTCGGTGACCAGCCGCTGCATGACGATCTGCGACATGCCCAGCATCTGCATCTCTTGTCTTGCCTCGGACAATGGACGGGCAGGAAGCGGAGACGAGTCAATGAGCTCACAAGTGGGCTAGCATGGGTCCATCATGTGCCAAAGTTGGGAACTGGATTCAGATGCAAAAGGGTGCAGTTGGGCTGGAAAGCTGAACCCCGGGCACCCATGCAATCTGCGAGTCTGGGATAACAAGAAACCCCATCACCTCACGAAGACAACGGTACCCAGCCGCCTCAGAACCGCATTAGTACCAAGAGCAAACCTGCAAGTGCCTAAAACACCTGCATACACCATCGCCAGCAACTGGCAAAGGACACCCGATTACGTCGTAGAGCAACACAGGTTCCACGAGAAGGGATGATCGAGATGGCAATCGACTGACCCTATTAACGCATCCGACATCGGAGTCCGCCTGCATCTTTGCTCCGAAGTTCTCGCAGACCGTCGTGACCGACTCGAACCAGCCATCCTCCGTATGGCACACTTGCATGCCGCTGCACAGATGCGGCACATCGAAGACTTTGTCTTCGTGGTGACACGTCCACATCCCCTTGCAGCAGCACGGGGCTTAGTGCAGGATGCCGAAGCTCACACAAGGCAGGCTCACCAACGATCAGAATGCATGAGGCTGAGCAGGCGCGAGGAGTCGAAACCCATGATCACTCCTCGTACTTGGACCTTGTTGCTCTCTTGCTGATCTCCTGGGCGGCTGCAGTTAGATGACAATAATGTGACAACACTAAGAAGTGATGATTCATGAGCTCTACACTTCTGAAGGTCCTTTGGCCTGTAGGACCAACTAGCGACATGCATCATAGATTCATAGACCGCAAGTTGATACTGAGCGCGCCTCGTCTAGTGGTAGTAATTCAGCTAGGCCGCCTCAGCCAAGCGTGCATAGGCCTCTGGCGGAGGCGGCCAAAGGAGCGTCCTAAGCTGTGGGACCAAGGCCCAAGCAGAGAAGGCTGCAAAGAACTCTGCACTGAGACGTTGCGAGTCAGCCACTCAACCCTCCCAGTCAGAAGCGCAAAGATGCAAACGCCGATTCCCTGGACTGGATCGTCGAGCAGAGGCTCTGTCCATCCTCCTGCTGCAGATTGCGCAGCAAGACAAAAGAGAACAATATGGCACCGGAATCGCGGGGCATTGAAACTTTGCTTTGCAAGCCAGGCGAAGCCCGTCCTCTAGCATTGTAGTCAGGATGGCCTGGGCGTCTGCATCCTGCTCGGGCAGCTTCTTTCCTTGGTTTCTGAGCGGCAGCCAGTAATTAACATTTCAATTTCGACTCTTACAGTTTGGTGGGCAGTGGGTCGTACAGGTCTTTGCTGCAGGGCATAGGGCCCAGGCACCGCAAGCATGCACGATTGAGGAGTATGCAGATGGCTTCGCCCACTGCATCCCACCAGGAACTAGTACGGGCTTGGCATACGACCGTACCGCCAAAGCATGATAAGTTCCACAGCCTGTGGCGCCAAGATTCGAGTCTGTTCTTGAGCTTTCTGGATCAGCTCCTGGTTCAAGCACTCATCATGCGAGCGCTCCCCACACAAAACCGAGAACCTCGCCTGCACTCAACCGTTCGGGAGTCAAGGCCAGCTGGGATGAGCGCAGTTACACTTCCCGTAAACTTAAGCTAGCGCGTCACCGCAGAGGGCGTATCTCCAAGCTGCGAACAAACAGATATCAGAACCGATGAGCAGCAAAGTACATACGCGCATGTCTAGATGCTGCTCATACATGCGTAATCACGGGCTACGATAATACACCGTAGTGAATGCGGCAAAGTGCTAAAACTACAAAAATCACGCAATGCCACGAGCGACAAGGTGGGAATACACAACTCAAACTCCAACAGATAGCAAATAGCAGAATAGCCGACGGGGCACGAGGAAAGCAAAACAGTGCCAGGCAATATCGTATACCGTATACCGATGTACTTCCACAGCTGAAGACCATCTTGCAGCTCGCTTGCGGCGTTGCAATCCGTCCGGGGTGTCTCGTCCAACCAACAAATTCTCATAAGGCTCAAAAATGCTCAAAAGGACAAGGCTCAAGAGTGTACGTCTCCAGGTTCTGCATCTTCTGCTTGAGCTGCGGGTCTTCACAGTCTTCCTTCCGAGCTTGAGCTGAGAATCCCGGAAACCATTTCCGAGATACACAAAAAGAGGTACACAACCAAAAGAAACGCTCTGTTAGAAGCGTACTGGCCTCTCATCTGCGAACCTTTTGAGCATGGTCCTTCAACATGATGCAGAAACGCTGCACTAATTATTATGCATATCTTGAGAAGGCTACTATGCCCATTCAATCCTACTGAAAGAAGATGCCCCAAACTCCCAAAGCAAAGCTCCAAGACCCTAGCGCTCCCGCAGATTGTACAGCCGGAAGTAGAAACCTCGATCGAACATCTTCCTTGGCTGTAGGGCAGCGCTAGTGTCTCTGCGTGAGCGGCCGCAGCGTCTTGCTAGACCACAGGGTGATCAGAGACCCTCGCACCCCCAAGAAGCGCAATTTCAACTCTCTGCTGATTCAGATGTTGTATTCAGTAAGATATCTATCTATATATATATATATTTTTTTTATTTATTTATTTATTTATTATGTAGTTATTTATTTATATGCATACACATATGTATCTATATATATACAGATATACACAAACACATATATGTGCTATATATATATATATCTATCTATGTGTGTGTATACATATATATATATACACATATATAAATATACATATATATATATACATCTTATGCTATTATCACATCACACCGTAAATCAGATCAGCCGCCAGTTGGCTCGCACCAGCTCCTCGAAGTCCTGTGGCCCTGAATTCAGCAGTCTCTGTATGATCCTGGGCTGCGGAGTGCTTGTTTAGGGTTTAGTGCTTCGGAGGGGTCTTTGTTCCCATCAGAGCTGACAAGTCGCACCTCAGAGAGTTTCGTCGGACTAGAGGTTGTGAGAGAGGTGAGGACCAAGGGCGATTGCAAGCTCGGTTCAGGATCCACGCCAGCACCAGATACGAAAACCAGTACATTTGCCATGCCGTCGATACCGTGATCCTAGCGGAGACCTGAAAAAAGACCTGCCGCCTAGCCAGAACGAGCCCCAATACAGCACCCAGGTCTGGCCTAGGCATTCAAGTCTCGGCTTTTGTACATGTGACAGTCACTTGTTAGACCCCTTCCCGGTCGCACAAAACATCTAAAACAATATCCTAGCGCACACACACACACACAATAGGCCCAACTACTGTTCCAAAACTTCACGTGCTCCCGAGGTTACATTGACATGTAGATTCACAGCGTTTAGATTTTCGGAGGGTTTAGGCTTTAGGGTTTCGTTGGTTCTGCGCTTTCCGGCAGGGATACAGCTCGGCTTCAGGCCAGCAGACAGCTAGGTTGATGACCCCAATCTCCTGGCGTACTAGGAAGTCCAAACAGGCAGCGAATGCCACTTTGGCTGAGCGTCTCGTCGTATTCTTTCGGAGCGTTTGTCTGATCTTTGCCTCAGGTGATTCCGGGCTCTCACGTTGTAAAGGGATGCCGTGGCATCTTGCGAGTCTTGCGAGATTTATCGGGAAAGTAAAGGTGGGTTTTGGAAGCATAGACCTGCAAGTGGTTGTAGTGATGATAATTTGATCGATCGGGCAAGCTGCTCGCGTCCCTCCAGTGGAAGACCACGGGGCGTAGCTTGGAAGGCTTGAGCATTCGCAAGTCCTGCCATGCATGACATGAAGCCGTGGCTTTGAAGATGGGCTGAACGGCTGAAAGCCGGAGCGCCCAAAGTGACCCCAAGTCTTCGTGAGCACACGGTGGCCTCGGCCGTGGGCCGCTCAATGCGAGTGCCGTTGTCCAGCGTGAGGGCCATCAGAAGGACGTTCTCCTGTCTTGTTCTCGCTCTCCGTGGGCTTGTGGACGCAGCAGAGCTCTAAGAAGGCTTCACAGAAAACAAAAACTCGGGAAGAGAATAGTGTAGTCAATGCGGCTCCAGCCATGCCGTCCCCGGATCTTGCATAACTTGGGGACACTTCACAAGCTCTACCAGCTATGTGGCCACAACATCAATGCAACCTAGCCACCTCATCCGGACAAATAGGGTCTCGCAGCTTCAAGAGCTCGTTAAGATCCTCCCAGCGGGAAGCAACTAAAGCGTCGATAGATTGCAGAGCTCGTAGCCATTGAGAAACACTCTCTCCGAGGCATACTCAAGCCTTTTCAACGACCGGTGCCCCACTGAGACAAGGCTTTAGGACACTGCAAAAAAGCCTCGCTCGCAGCAGCCAAAGCAGAAAACACTGGAATGACGAGATGCTCGAATGTCGTTGACCACCACGTCACGAGTCAGGGACTGTGTATCATCCTGGCAGTATCTTTCGAAAGGTTCGCAAGTCCGGCTTGCCGCAGACGGCTATCTGGCCCTGTGCGATGTCAGATTTTGAAAACAGTAGCTGCAGGGCGACAAGAGGCACATTGCCTAAACCCCCGTGTTTCTAGATTGCTTTCGGGGGCATGGGTTCATGTTTGACCCAACACTACAAACTCATGTCCAAGGAAGACACTAAGAAGGCAAGCCAACCACAGGTATGCCTGCAAGCGCTCTCGACAGAGACGGAAATCCCAAACCATCAAGCTGGCGGCGTACAACAGCCATCTCTCCCTCAGAAGCCACCTGCTCATCTGCCAACTCGTACTTGTAGTCAATGGGATTTCTGTAGGTTGGTTGGGCCGCATGCCTTTCTCAGACGTAGCCCGCGGTCAAGGAAGACTTCAAGACTGTCACACATCGAACGGTTTGCTCAGGACTTACCCTCGGTTTTCTTTGACCAAGCCCCACATCCGCCAGTTCTTGGTTTTTCAGACTTTGAGATGCTTGTGGCAGACCGACAATTCTACCACCAAAGCCACCGCAGAAACCCCATGCAGTCCCCAGTGCCTAGCCACCAGGCTTCGGGACGTTCGCGGGCTGCGCAGCACCGCAAAGAGGTCGGCATGCGACAAGGCGATGAGAAAAGCCTGGCTGTGCTTCACAGATGTCGTGAGACGAAGTTGAAGGCTACCTTCTAGCACTCCCCTTATCCTTGCAGCCTGCTTCATCCAAGCTACAGTATGCCCTTCACCCGAAAGCTCGCAATCTGTCACATCGTCTTCGGAACATACTACATCGCTCACACCTGACCTCCTGCATTGGGTTAGTGCGACTCTTCAACTCGCCTCATGATTGTGTTTCTTCAGATTCAGGTATTGGAATCTTCAATCGCTTACGATCGCTCGCGTACCACCAAATCACGCAGCATTCTCTCACTCCGCAAATTCTCCCTCTTGGACTGGTGCCCACGAAACGAACATCGACTTTTGCAGTTGAATAGATCGCTTCTGCGATCGAAAATCTGTAGAGCGCGTCTCCGCGTAGTAAACAGCCAAACATTGATGTCGGAGGGTTGCCCAGCAGGAAATCGAGCAGAAACTAGGGCCATGGCCCCGAGAGCGACTGCTCCGAGCCTCCTCGATTCAATGATTTGATTAGGGTTTAGGGTTTCAGCACTCAAAGGTTTAGGGTTTCCAATCCAGGCGAGGCATGTGGTCTTGAGTCGACAGACGTGAAACTAAGAAAAACAGAGCTTGGGAAGAACACATGTCCCCCTACATTAAACCCTGAATTCCCACTCATAAACCCTCTGCCAGCGCTGACTAGTCACAGGATTATGAGTCCAAAGTCGCAAGGCTTTAGGTTCTAAAGTTTAGGGTTTACGCTCTCGCAACTCAGACTCCGGGGTTTACTCGGACAAGCCAGGCGAGGGTTCCATACGTTTGAGTCGGCGTGATACAGGCACATGAACCTCTAACTCCGGGGTTTAGGTCCATTGCACAGAACCGTTTCAGTTCTCAAAGCTGCACAGGCGGGATTATGTAAAGCACCCTGATGTTGAGTCTTGGATCACCACGCACTGCTTGCAGCACCTACGAGCTCTTCCGGACCATGTTAGCGACTGGCTACTGCTTCCCTGGTTGTCCTCGGCTGGGACGCCCCATGGCCGCCATGAAGGCGCGTGGCGGAGCTACACAGCATCATGCCGCTTGAGACGCTGCCCACGAACACTTCAGTGTAAGCTATGATTTGGGCGACGTCTCGGAGCTCCGGCTTGCTGAGAACCAAGGCAGACCCTCCTTCCTGTGATAGTTGGATGGGACGAAACTAAAGCAAAGCAATCGAAGCCCAAGAAATGATGACAGTGCTTGACATCCCGGATTGATTGTCTTACATCCTAAAGCCCATGGCATCACCGCTCCAATTTGGCATGTCATGGTACCATGCCTGGAACAGACTCACAGCAAAACATCTGAACTCTAGCATGTAGAGCCCGATGTCCCCCATGCAAAATCCCTTCCAAAACAGAGCAGGGGTTCGGAAGTTCCGAACGATGAACGCCACGCCCTTTACAGCCGGTGGCACCTCTCCAGCTCCGTACGGATGGCGCCTCGGGCGAAAGCGCTGACGAAGCACGAAACATCGACTTAGTCTTAATTAATAGTAAATTCCTCCGACCACGGAAGCGAACCATCACCCGGCAGGGCCGTGGCTTTGCACAAAAGCGATCGCCCTTGCTTTGGCTGCATCCTTTTGATGGCATCATGCTTTGATGTTGTGCGGGAGCCACGCAGACAGTGCCAAAGGTTGCGAATGCCGAGTTGCTTTCAAGCAGCAGAACACACGATCTACGTTTTCACGCCGAAAATTTTGGCGCTAACCAGGAAGAGGGACGAGAAGACCGAACGAACCAAGATCGTTGGTGAAGGGTACGGTGGAGGCTGCAAGACGCCTGAAGGATCTACCCAAACACTGCTATCAAGTACTGCGCAAGGACACCTGACAAAGCGTGAGAAGGCCATAGGCCGAAGGTTCGCCGGCATTGCAATGCATCAACGGCTTTTTTAAAAATATTGCGGCAAAACGTGATGATTCTCTAGACTCCTGCAGCATGCCAGAATATATCCGGCCCTCCCAATTCAACACACACACACACAATTATGCCTACTTGTCCAGTATCCTGGGGAACTAACAGTTAACCCTTCGGAATATAGGGATTTTATAGGGGTTTATAGAACCCCAACCAGGTTAAAGGTTGCCTACTCTACTACTAGGTAGGCGTATGCATTTTTAGCACTCGCGCTCGACGAATCACGCGAGGATCTGAGGCAAAACATACATACATGCACGCATGCATACATACACTTTGCAGACTCATCATCAATTTACGGCTAGCGATAAGGATGCAAGCGCGATTGGCCCGGCCACTCTAAAGCGGCACACCCCCCGCAGTGGACCGCTTAGCAGGTGGGGAACATTACCCAAAGATCAAAACTTGTGGGCTACGCCTGGCTCGCATCTTGTCCAAAAGAAGGGATGCTGAAACAGAACACGGTGAGTGGTAACCCCAGCATCTCCCATATTCGCAATGTGCCGAGAGGACAAACCTCATCTGACAGTAAACCAACGACCGTCTCCTCGATGTGTGCAGAGCTTCTCGTTCGCACTAGGCGGCACACTGCCGTCTCACTCTTGCTAACAGCGGCCAATCCAAGCGAAAAGAGGCAACACCCCACGTGCACAAGCATTGTTCACGGCAAGGAGTCGTCTTCAAGACAAGAACACAACCCCATGGCCCAGTTTGCTGCAGCTTTCTCGGGCGTACTGACTGCAGCACGCGACACACAACGTTCTCGCCCTTACTGACTGTGGCCAGGAACCAGGTGTGGAGCTTGTCTTCGAGCATGAGAGAAAAAGGGCAACTGAGTCGCATCAAGAACACCACTAGGCTTTGGCTTACAGCGAAGATCCTACTGGAGATGTACACATCAAGCTCCAGCTGCCTTCGCGGCAACGGCAGCAACCCTCGGCTTTGTGGAGACATGCAGTCCCTCGCCCAATGTAGGCAGCATGCGCAAGATAAGAAGAATGAGGACCGTGCATGTTCCACGTGGGAACTTGGGACCCCAGCTGGCTCAACATCAAAAAGGCTCGTTGGGGTACACAGCTGCCACACAGCGTCATCGCCCAACCACAGCTCTAACATCGTTCATCGCAGTTTGGGTGGCCAACTTTCCATCCACCAAACAATGCGACCTTGCACTCAGCAGACCCAGTTCACTCCCTGTTGCAGTGTCCTCCCACGGCTGATGTGAGCTGCGAGCTGCCGATCCGTTATATGCTGTGTGATTCATCCCCAGCGTGCTTATAATCCACGAGAGCAGAAGGAGCCAGTCCATGATGCAGGAGAGGAGGTGAAAGCAAAACCCCAGAGACCAGCTAGAGCCAGAAAGCCTGCATTCATTCATTCATTCATTCACTCACTCATTCACTCACTCACTCACTCATTCATACATACATACATACACACATACATACATACAGAGCGAGCGAGAGAGAGAGAGAGAGAGAGAGAGAGAGAGAGCGAGCTATGCGTGCGTCTGTATGTCTGTCCGTATGTATGTATGTATGTATGTATGTATGTATGCATGTAAGTATGCAAGTAGGTACGTATGTATTATGCATGTGTGAATTTATGTATGACGGAAAATCATGGGGCCGTGCCACATTTGGAGGGATGTTGGGGTTAATGCAATCTAGAGTCCAGTCCAAGTTTAGGGCTGCAGAGCCTCGGTTCATCCACAACGATGTCACAACGTGCCTTATTTTGCTCTCTTTAAGAAATGCTCCCAACGCAAAGCCGCTTACCTCCACATTTCCCAGGGACAAAAAGGTTCAAACAAGCTTACACCACTCAGACACCACAACCCCCGCCTCCCCAGTGCAGGCGTCGCTCTTCAAGCCGAGCCAGATCCTGGCCAATTAAATTAGAGCGGTATTCCGTAACATTCCTATACAATATTGCTGTTTTGGTTATGCTATATTAGATTGGAGGGCCTAAAATGTTGAATGGGGTTTCGGCTCTCACAGCTCTGTGGACCTGGAGGGTTCAAGCTTTACAGGCTCCTAGGGTTTAGAGTCTTCATCCTGCCGATTGATAGCCAACCCACCAAGATGTGTTGGTACCGCAAGTCATCGTCTTAATCTGGTTGTTGCCTTAAGAAGTTATCCGTAGTTGTCGCCTTTGTAGTCACGCTAGTTCACGCATCATGTCGTCCAGTCTCGTCCAATGCTTTGCGTTCCTGAATCCTCCATCCAGCAGCCGGTGCGAGAAATGCTTCTGTACAAGTCACCAGAGCGCTGGAACGTCAAAAAACACTAGTGTGAAGCTTTAGGGGAGGCACATTGTACCTCGTCTTGACACCACAAACTCTGCAACGGGATGTACATCGCACTTCTGGCACACATGCGAGGAAGCTCTCAACATTAAACATCGGCTTCGCAGTTGCAACTTGCCTAAACCAAGAGTTGTCAAAGTTCCTTGCATGCAACGCACGAGTCTGCGGCTCTGGGTGAGGGAGTTGGTACCTCACCTCGAAACGACGAACCTTGCAACGGGCTGTGCACTGCGCTTCTGGCAAAAATGAAAGGAAACTCTTCACATCAAGGATGGGCATCGCGGTGTGTGCTTGCCCAAACCAAGACTGGTTTAAACTCCATGGAGGTTCTGGCACCATGAATTATGAATTATGATTACGGCACCCGTCGTGCTCGCTAGAAGCATGCTCAAAAGCCTTGTGTCAAAAGCCGTATTTGCGGCAATGGTCAGAGGCAATAGCAACCATTGTGAAATTCACTGGTAATTATCTGAAAAGAGTAAGAATCATAGCGAAGTGATGGTTTTCCCTGGGCCTCGAGCCCGGCTTTCACGAGCTTCGTGCACCCGCTGCTGAAATTGTCCCTTCACCACATTCCCTATCCACTGGACCATGACTTCCACGACGTGTCGGTTCACCTGCTCGAAGCCCACACTGCCCTGGATCACTGACTTCACCTTGGTCTCGTCTTCTGGCTTCCAAGCTTCCGCGTTTGCGACATCCACCATGCTCACGGATTCGATGATGTGGCTGATTCCTTCAGCGCCACGCTCGATCTGTTCCTGCAAGGATTTGGCAGCAGCTTCCGGCATGAGGAAGGTTACTGGAATGTCCATCGAAGAAGCGACGAACTGCTCATAGATAGTCCACACCTTACTTGGTCGTTGTTGCTGAATTCACTGGCTATTTGGACGCAGGTGCCGATCACACGTATGCTAGTATGTCAAGACGCCAATTAAGTGGGTTTGGCTCAGAAGCCCGATCGCAAGCACGTGTCGACGACCCCACGGAGAAATCTGTTTGGCGTCGCCCGGCGCGGCATGCACCCACTGCAAACCATCGGACCAAATGCTTCGAAAAATGCAGAGCCAGATGATTTACATTGACTTCGAAATCCTGCCTGCAGGATGATTTCTCTTGGGCCTGAAAACTCTTGTTGGCCTAGCCCAGCCCTGTGCGCGAACTTATCTCCCAGGTTGGGCAGGGCCTGAGGGGCAAAACTGCGTGATTGATGCTTCTTGGGTGCTGCCCCGCTGCGATAAATACTGTATGCGCAGCAGGATCTGTCACGTCTTTCCTTCAACACCGCGCCACCACACATTGCCACACATATGTCGGCTGTTTTGCCTTTGCTTCTGTCTTGCCATGCGGGAGTTTGCCACACCAAGTTATAAGGCACCCGGGCGCAAGGTTGTTTTTTTTTGCGGCATGTATTTGGAAGGTACACTGCACAAATTCGTGACACACTCGTCAGAATGCAGTTGATTTGGCACCGGGTACGGGGCAGACATTCGTGACACTTGTTTTGGCGTGATATCTCTTTTGGCCCTGGGTACAGGGCAGACTCTCGTTCAATGCGTTTTGGCGAGTACTGTACAGAAAACTGTGTGGGAATGCAGGCTCTGGGGCCTCACTAGAGGAGCTTTTGCGTCTGCTTTCCGATCGGCCTAAAGCAGGGGCCAGTTCAATGTAAAGCTTTCAGGGCTTGGGTCAGATTGCTAGTGGCTTCGCAACGAACTCGGCGACTGAGGCCCCGACTCTGTTGAGGTACACTGGCTGTACCCATGTGTCGAGGATCGCAATCATCTGGCCAGTTCGGACCAAGTTCTGTCGGAACACGCACTCCAAGTCTTGGCTGCCAGTGCCACTGCCCTCCACCACGATGCGAAATTGATTGTTGACGAAGAAGCACATGAAAAAGGACACGTGCCTCGCCACGACCATAGGAGCGTTTGCCTGGTACATCTCCAGTGCGCTCTGCACTTGAGACAGGCTGTAGCGCCAGGTCCATGACATAAAATGGGTTTGCTCTTTGGCATCATCTCGAGGAATCCAGTCCACCAGCGCACAACCTGGGCGACCATCACGTGGGCACTGGATCTCCCTTCCAAGCGGGTTCACGTGGGATCAACGATTCCCGTCCGCTGTTTTGCCACAGCTGCGAAATCGTCTGAGAGCAAGTAGCGCATGCTGACTCCGGCAACCCGGCTCTGTTGTGCACGCAGTGATGCCAAGGCCTCCAGCTCCTGCTCCAGCCGCTGCTTGCGCATCTGCTCCTGTTTGTGCTCGGCCCACCTCTCGGCTACAGGCGCCAGTTTCCGAGCCACCAGACAGACCATCAAGAAGACAGTGCAGATCCCGGCCAGAGTCCCAAGCGCCCACAGCAAAGTGGGCCACCAGATGCAATGGTCCTCATGAATAACAAAGAGGCAAGTAAAGCATTCACTCACGTTGCCAGGAGAGAATCTCCCAGATGCGCATTCCAAGCAGGGCCGATACGGGATACGATGCGGGTCGGGATACGAACCAGGGCCACAGCTGTAACAATCGGACCCGTGGCCATACTGGTGCGGCGGACAGCGACAGTGCAAAGCGGCCCCTCGGCGTTCCTCCACCAGGTGTGGCAAGCAAGCGCAGCAAGTCGCAGCATTGAGATCGTCTTTGCCCGACTGATTCACAGGCACACTCCCCGCTGGGCAGGAAAACAATGAGCAATCCCTTTTGACAAATGCCAGCGCATGTCCTTCTCCACGCTTGATTGGAAGCCCGCCATGCAGGGTGCTGCAGCCGCCGTCTTTCAGCAGAAGGAAGCCAGTGCAGTTTTCCCAAGCTGCACAGGCCTCCCTACATCCGGAGCCGACAGCTGTTGCACTGGGGCCGGGAGCCCAGGCTGCCCTTCCAAGCTCAATGAAGTTGCCATTGATGGGCCTGCACGTACCCGCCACGCAGGCGAACTCTGAGTCGCCCGGGCACGGCACATTTATCTCTTGACAGCTGGGACAGGAAAGCCTGCTCATCACCGGCCACGGGAGAAGCCATGACTGACTCATGGAACACTTCGCCGCTTTGGAAAATCTCCAGAAAGTTTGAACCTCATCTGCGCCAAGCGCATGCTGAACATCCCAAGAGCCAATAAGCTGGTTGAAATGGGAGCCGGAAAACATCTCTCTCATGTCCTTAACGGCCGAGGTGTTCCAAGTGCCGATGGGCTGATTGAACTTTGAAGCTGAATAGAACATGTGGCTCATGTCTTCCACTGCTGAAGTGTCCCAGGCACCAATCGACTGGTTGAAAGCCCCTGTGCTCTTGAACATTCCGCGCATGCTCCTCACTGCCGAGGTGTCCCAAGCACCGATCGGCTGGTTGAAAGCCACAGCAGCGTCCAACATCCCCAACATGCTCGTCACTGCCGAAGTGTCCCAGTCACCTATCGGTTGGTTGAAAGCACTCGCACGATCGAACATGCCGCTCATGTCTCTGACCGCCGAGGTGTTCCAATTTCCGATCTTTTGATTGAAGAAAGTATTTTGAGAAAACATGAAACTCATTGTTCTCACGGCAGAGGTGTCCCAATTGCCAATGTCTTGATTGAAGCTCGCTTGCGCAAACATGTGACTCATGTCCCTGACCGAGGAAGTATTCCATGCACCAATCGGTTGATTGAAAGAAGACGCAGAGAACATGTAGCTCACATCAATCACTGAGGAAGTGTCCGCCACCCATGGCAATCACAGCTGAAGTGTTCCAGGAGCCGATCGGCTGGTTGAAAGAGTGGGCGAAGCTGAACATGTAACTCATGTCTCGCACCTTCGATGTCTTCCAGGTTCCCAATGGCTGGTCAAACCTACCTGCGTATGTAAACATGCCGCGCATATCTTCCACAGCCGAAGTGTCCCAAGCGCCAAGCGGCTGGTTGAAGTTGTATATCTCAGCAGGATAAATCCCATAGCCATCGAACATATGGCTCATGTCCCTAACTGCAGAGGTGTCCCAAGTTTCAACTGGCTGATTGAAAGCTGTGGCGCCATGGAACATGTGGCTCATGTTCCTGACTGCCGATGTGTCCCAACTGTTGACCGCTTGGTTGAAGGCCCGGGCACCTTCAAACATGTGGCTCATGTCCTCTACTTTGCCAGTCTTCCAAGCTCCAACTGGCTGATTGAACCGCGAAGCGGACTTGAACATGCAGTGCGTAGCTCGTACTGCTGACATGTCCCAGGCACCGATCGACCGGTTGAACGAAGAAGCTTGATAGAACATATAGCTCATGTCGCGGACTACTGAGGTGTCCACATCTCAAGCGCTTGGTTAAAGGAAAAAGCATTTCGAAACATGTGGCTCATGTCAGCCGCTCTTGAGGTGTTCCAGCGCTGGATGTCCTCATCGAAGCTTGCTAGATCCCGAAAAAGGCCGCTCATGTTGCTGACGGCTGAGACATCCCACTCTGAGATTGGACCCCAAATTGCCACCAGCTGGGACCTCCTCAGCGCCTGGAACTCCCACTCCAGCAGTGCAGATCTCAGCTCGGACCCGTTGTTGAAGGCACGGCGGCCGCTGCCCGAGAGAGTACAGGAGCACAACACCAAGCAGAACAAGCCCCGCATGCTCCACGTGCCCCTGGCTGCTTCTAGAACTTCTGCTGCTTTTTCCTGCAACTTCGAGAGACTGCCGCTGTTCATTCGCTCCTGGGCTCTGCAACTGCACTACACTCACTACACGTTTCGTTCACAGTTCGACGGTTTCTGAGTCTCCCGGCTCAGAGCCTGGATGCGCAAGCGCCGTCAGGTGAATTTCGACTCTCAAATCTCGGGTTCAGGTTCCAGCAGCTGTACTTCAAGCATGTTGAATGTTAGATTGCTTCTTTCATGCCTCGGTCGGGCGTGCCGCTCCTACAACTCTGGTTGTTACAGTGAAGCATGACGCAGTCTTCAAAGGATTGCAGGACGAAACAGTGGAGGGTTCCAGCAAGTGCACAGTTCGGAGTGCAAAACAGACCCCGGTCTGGGCCTCATCTGCAACATGTCACTGGCATTTTGCTAGCAAACGCCCTATGCGCCCAAGACGGAACTTAGCGGCTGCACCAGCCCTAAGAAGTCACGCCAAAAAAAGTCGCGATGAACCACCTCGAGGAGCCAGATCATTAAGCCTCGGGTGACAGCCTACAGTCCAGGAAGTCTACTGCCACGAAAGCCATGAAGGCAGTGAGGAATAATGAAAACGGATGCCTTACCCTCAAACAAACCGGGCATGCTGCGTGCCTTGCGCTGGGCCGCGGAAGAGCACCAGCTGGGCACCTGGCGACTCTGTGGCTTAAAAGATAGTCGCATCATTACAACATTCCCATCACGTCAACATCACTCTAATCGCCACCCCAAACATGAGCACCAAGCCAAAACGAAAACCACCGGCAGCATCATCACCACCGCCATCGCCCTCACCAGCATGACCATCATCATCTTCGCCGATCATCCCCCATACCGCTATCGTCAACAGCCTACTGTCAGGAAGCATACCCACCGAGAACAAGCAAGAACAACAAGCACGATGACAACAACGACAACAACAACCACGACCACAACCCCCCGCCCCACCCCACCACAACCACCACCACCACCACCACCGCCGCACCGCCACCGCCACCGCCACCGCCACCGCCACCGCCGCCACCGCCACCACCACCGCCACCATCACCGCCGCCACACCACCACCACCACCACAACGACGACAAATGTTATGACTTCTTGTGAACACAGAACATGGTGAATCGACTTCGAATTCGAAGACTGCTCAAGTTTACCCGCGGGTACATGTTGGGAAACGGTTCTTGTTGTGAGTTCCCCGTTTTTTGAGTCGCAATGCTCAGTTACATGGGCGGAAGGCCCGCCCACCGTTTCCATTATGACTTTGGCATTCACCTGAACAATCAGCTCTGCGGTACCCGCCTGGTGGTGATGATGATGATGATGATCACGATGATTGTGGGGGGCCGCACAAGGGCATGGTCTTATCACATCCATGGTCCACAAACCGTGAGGAGGAAGGAGTGTATGTCCCGCGCCGGTAGCAATGGAAGAGCTATCAAGTATCAATCCATGATTGCTCATAGGACTGATGCAGTAAATGGCAGCACCGGGGTGGCGCTTAATCCTGATAGCGCAGTGAAGCCTCACTCTGTCATGCTGCTACCATGTCGTGACCATCACCTATTTCCCACGCAGTAAGCCTGCTGCTTTCAGGAGATGCATGAGCAGATCACGACAGATTGTGACCCCGGACCATCCGCCGCGGTGTGATTGAATTGTTGTCATGAACTTTCTACTATCCACCGACTCCACCGGCTTGGTAACTTAAGCCGACGAGCGTATGTTACAGTGGGTCCCAGGACTCCACAAGCCGTGCAAAGACTGCCGACATTTGCATACCATGTGCTTTCCGACAATACACAAGAAATAGCCTTCATCCGAAGCATGCCTCACGGTTCCCCTTCAGTCTTTGAGCTCAGCCGGGCACCGACTGCCAACGCCGCAAAGCGCACTGCGCCATTGTAAGCTGCGTCGTGGCATTGCATGCAGCCTCATGTGCCTGGGGGTTTAGGAGACATTCGAAGTGGCAGTGACTTTGCAGGATTTACGACTGCACCGGGCACCTTTGCAGGTGGGAACTGGGAGTGCGGCATCAGTATAATTACTGATGAAACTTACTTGTACATCTCCCGATTATACTGTCGTCATTGTCCCCGTTTGCTTCCAGGGTTGAAACAATCAAGGGTTTCAACCTTTGCTTCGCAATGTTCCGAATCATGGATGAAACCACCGTCCCCAAAATTTTAGGTCTTTGGGATGTGTTGTGTTGTACTTAAAGCTACGATGGCAATAACAACAGCCCGGCACGGAGAATGCCGTTGAGAATGACCTATGAGAGGATAGGGTAGTGAGCTCAACCTCTCGCAGCTCACAGCGCATATACTTCGATGTCGGTGCACACATCCCGAAACAAAACGACCATGGTCTTGGTACCCATCTACCAATGCCAAGGTTGGCACGGCATGCATCGCTGCTGCCTGGGACGTGACATCCTCTTCATTGAGGGCCTCCCATCTCCAGCAAGCTCACCGGCGAGCAACAGGGTCAAGAGTCGAAAGTGCGGAAGTCGAGTCATGATTCCTAAGGCCTGGCTCAATTGGGCATGCGTGCGGAACCATACTACCCCAGTATGACATCTGTTGATGCTGCTCGGGAAAGACGCTCGAAAATCGAAACTCGTGAAGTGATCAGAACAGTTCAACATGAGCCCCAGTGCCTCAAACCAGGACCGCGCATCGCCATGTGCCTGCAGTGGGCTCGATCCATGCGAAGACGTAGATGGGAGGCGAAAATAGTCCAGTGTGGTGCAGAGAAAGCGGCATCCAATGCGGCTGTCATAAGAATTTCTTACCAGTCTTACCACATCGGAACACCAAGACCCATACTCAACTGCTGCCAGCGGCTTTACAAGATCAGGATTGAATCACGGCTCCAAAGCTGGCACCTCACCAAGAACCCCCGAATTTGGGGTCCAGGCTTCTTGATTCGGATCCCAGTTGAGCGCGTCCCCAAACGGATCGAGGAACAGGACCTGTGACCAACTCCGACGAGACGTTTCAAAGCCTGGCTTCGTGGTTCTGGGAGTGCCAGCAAGCTGTTGACAGGTGTAAGTGTGAATATTTAGAGCGCGGCTCTTGAGAACGAAAACTCGCCAGCAGATGCAGATGCTTGACACTTTCACCAAGCAGAATCACCTGCCGTCACATTCGACGCACCGCAAGTCTCTCAGTTGCGATTAGCCCATTAGCAAAACTGTTAAACTTATTGCTGTCGTTGCTGTGTTCAATCCGGCCCCTGTAAATCGGAGCCCATGGGACCGTTGCTCAAACCCTGGCTTGACACCCGAACTTAGAGTTTCCATGCTTGCAACAAGCTGCTCAGACTCAACCAGCAGGACCAAATGCCCGAACACGAACAAGGGTGCTTAAAGAAGGCTTTTCTTCTGACCGTGGACAGAGAAAGAGACAGAAAATTGACACACACACACACACAGAGAGAGAGAGAGTCCATTTCACACGGCAGGCAATGGCAAAGCAGTCACATGATTACTTCCCAGTCTAACATGTCACGAAAGTCGTCCAGGCTGTATGCTTGCAGGTGTGTCTGCACGTACGACGGCCGATGGATCAGCAGGTGTTTAAGATAGCTGGACACAACCTGCAGCTCGTAGTCTCGATGATCTCCGCGCCAAGCTGCGACAAAGAGAAGGTTTCCAAAGCTGGCTTCGTCCACGTGTTTGCCAGCTTCGACCCCGACGCAGGTAACATGCACCAGTGATGCTCTGTGAAACTTTCGCCCCAATGTCTCAGATGCGGACAAGGCGAGCTCAAGATTCTTCATGTGCATGTGGGTCTTCGAAGAGTGGTGTTGATAGGCAGGGTTCGGCTCGCCAAAGCTCTCGTCGAAAAGCCAGATCCGACGATGCCCTCCCCGTTCCACCAGCACCTTGTCTTGGAAGGAGAACCGTGAGCTAGGAGCAGCAGTCGCAAGCAACCTCAGTTCTTTCATGACAAGAAGTGAGTGCGGGCGAGACTTCAAAAAAGAGAAACCACTGAAACCACCAATGTATGAACACGTTGTATGAGCCCAACGCAGCCCTAAACATCCACGAAGCTGCCTTCTTGCCACTAAGCCGGCATTCTCTCCCGACAACGTGGTATAGAATCCTAACTGGCATCGGCCTAGATCTTGTTGCCCCAGAAGGAATGCAACCAGCGCAGCTGCCTTGGGACGAATTTTGAGGTTGTGCAGCTCCCCTTGTCGGCTCCATCGATAGTCCACCAAAGTGAACCTCATGTCCAGGAGAAACAAGTAAACATTGTCGGCGGGTGGTTCGGCGCTGCAAGAGGCGTCAGATATGGGCACCCACCCTGGGCCCACGGAAGTAGCTGCATCATCTGCAACGGGCCTTACAAGGGCCACGAGTCCAGATTCCGTGGTCGCATCCGTGCTCAAGATATCGGAATGGGTGCGGATGTCGGCGTCTTGTGCGCTTCGGCCACAATGTGGACAGCCGCATGCTAAGCAAGCAGCGCAAAGGAATGCCTGAGATGGTCAGTCAAGGCATGCCTTAAAAAAGCAAGCTACTGCCTTAGGCCTTTAAGCCTTGGCATGTGTAGCTCTTAAGCAGTCGCACACAGTGCAGGCTACAGAACATCTGGGAGCCTGGGGATGCTGGCTTCCTTCGCGACCACGCCCCGGACAACCCGGCGATGGGCAGCGAAACACGTGGACGGTGTACCCGCGGCAGGTCGGATGGTAGAAACACGGCTCCATCGGCTCAATGTCATCGGGCAAGTTGCAAGCCCATCAACACTTCTTATGTGGCTTTCGATGTGCACTACTAGATCTACCAGCAAAACTTGTAGGTAGACTAGCGACTAGCTATTCTTACTCGCGCCTGCAATGCAGGGATGTGACTGAATCACCCTGAAGTCTTGGTCGTGGCGTGAATCAACATAGAATTCCGCGACGACAGAAGAGCAAACAAACCCTTTTGCAACAGGCTTTCCACTTCGCCCGGAGTTGGAGCAAGCAGCCCTAGCAGCTTCACTGCAAACCCTAAACCCGAAACCTGGATTTACTTTTCCGATGAACAACAAAAACTTTGTCCAACACTACAATTGGACAAGTCCACACTCCAAAACAATCGAAACCACGAATTTCACAAGTACTGTTGCGAATTGCAGATACACTTAACATCACGAGTGTAGAAACGGAAGCCAGCAGCCTGGCTTAGTAGAAAAATTCTCAACTCTTCAACCCGATGTAGACTCATCTTGCACGCCCTGCATCGAACGTCACCAGAATCTTCATTCATTAGTCCTTCTGCGCTTTCACCGAATAGCTAGGTCGTGCCCGCTAGGCAGTCCGAGGGGTTGGACAGGCCTGGCGGAATCTTCGAGGCAGCTGGGCCAGCTTCTCCTGGCAATGCGCTCATCCCAGCTGCCGAAAACCCGTTTCCAAAACTCCAAGCCGCAACTGATCTACTGCCCAGTGGGCTCAAACAGCATAGCCCCAAAATTCGATGAAATCTAGATCACACCAAACTGCCACAACGACAGGCTTAAAGAGGGTCTTCAGCGCCTACAGTGGCAGACCAGCTCTCAACATCTAAGCTGCGATGTGGATTCGAGGCGTGTTCGGATATCGTGCGAGACTTCATGTTCAGTTTGTGGTTCGGGCAGAGCCAAAGACCAACTCATTCTTGCAGACGCGCCGTGCAGCAAACTAACAGCGGAGCTTCGGAAGATGCTTAGGTCTTCTTCAAGATCAAATCCGGTTTCATCCTGACTTTTGCTTTCTTGACGCAGCTGTCAATACTGGTTCCCTCGAACTCGAGACGAACATGCTCTGAATCTCAAGCCAGTTCAAGTTTGAAGCGTCACGCTCGCCGACGCACATCTGAAGCCGGAGAAGTGTGCAGCCCCTGCATGCGAACTTGCGATCAATCGTCACTACGGAGCCTCTGCCCCACTGGGCCAGGCAATGCGCAGCCAAAGCCTCAACTTGTTGTGGGCTTTGTTGCAGCAGATGCAGCAGAAGACTGCAAAGTTTTCTCGGAGTCCCATTCAGAGGTCCGAGAGTGGACGCAAACATACACTTTGTCGGCAGAAATGGCTACGCGAAAGCTTGCCCAATTGCAGCATCTCGCGTGGCATGTTACTGGCATGTTCAGTACACATCTAGTTACCTTTCGTTGACTAAGCAAACTTCGCCAAGCTGTAGCCGGTATCTTGCAAACGGGCCTCCAACAGCAGACCACCCGAGGCGCAGGTGAAGGGGCTGAGGTTTGCCAGTATGCGACCGGAGAGGCTCAAGCCACATGGCATGGCACAGGAAGCTCAGCGGCGACAGCTTGTAGTCCTGCGACATGAGCGCTGTCTACATAGAGACTGCACAGGTCTGGGAATCTTGGGCTGGAAAAGGGTCGTGCTCAGACTACTGCAACATGTGTGTCTGAGCGCTGCTGTCGGCAGTTCGCAACGCCTGGTGCCTGGAGCTGTAGAGATCAACCTGACATGGGCGCCTACTATAGGGCCCAACCAAAATGAGAGGTGCATAACTGCGTAAGGCTTGCGAAGGACCAGCTGCATCGGTTCTCCTGTTGCGGGAGCAAATTGCCCAGCTTGTCACGCTGAGAGAAGGAGACTTCCAGGGCTGTGACGATGCTTGGAACGATGCCTCGGCATCAAGCAGGTTGGTCTTCCAGCCCAATGGGCCAACACGCAAGGCTTGGGTCGAGATAGCGGTGAGGCGAAGCCTGCGGCGTATTCTATGTCTGGAGAGGGAACTGGTCCGATGCCCGATGTAACGGACTGCATGAAATCACACAAACCGTAGTACAAACCCTAACAGCTCTAACACTCCTCCTGCCTCGGTATCGGAATGCGCAGAATATGTTCCTTCGGGTTCGTGCGCAGCTGCTACGAACCACAAAGTTTGCAAAGCATGAGCTCAAGAAGACGCAGCTACTGACGATCTGCACCGTGATGATCTCTCGGTGCTGTAGCCCCGCCAAATCCAGAAACGCGACAAAGATTGTCGCTGCCTGGAAGAGGACCTGATCGCGGTTCGAAGTTGGGCAGTGGGAACCTAACAGCAAAAACCCACCTTGACCACCTCTGATAATCAGCCGTCTCTGCAAACGTGCATAGTTACATAGTTAACATCCGCATGTGAACTGCCGGTCTCTTGGAAAATTGTGCCGTCCCAGGAGCTACCAATGCCAGACCTAAACTGGGCATCTGGTTCTCCACCAGAGCATGGCAAATGCAATAGTAGGTCATGGCCTGCAGGATGTGATTCCTTGGGAGCCGCGAGTCCAGTGGTGTAAGATCAGTGTGACATTGAGGCTTAAAAAGGATGCTTCGCTGTAGGCTAATCGAGGCTCAGAGGGTGTGGCATGAAGCCCTTCACCAGGGCCAACAGGGGATCTGAAGCAAAGCAAACACGACCTTGGGCCTGCAGGGCCCAACAAATCTGAGTTCAAGGCCAAGGATCAACCCGAGGCCGAGACAAACGCGGCAGTACGCATCATAGCACTGCCACTTGAACTGAAGGTTACCTCAGACTTCCTAGAGGCGTCTCGACCGTGATTTTAATCGAAGCGTAAGACTCGGACCCGATGATGGCACGACCGTATGCGCAGGTCACCAGACCGAGAATCGTTGAAGCGATTGAATAACAGGAGCCACGCCGAACTAGATCGGACATTAAGGACCATCAGGCCGACAGATCTTGCTCTGGGCTCGACTGTGGTCGGAGCGAATGTCACACAGTGCTCTGGTGCATCTCTTTCGACGGCTACGGTCACTGTCACTATCGGAAACTAGGAGCGAAAGAGCTGGACATGCCGCTCCGGCATGGCCCCGCGGCTGCCGGATAACAGGTCCTCGGCTGTTGGATCTCCCAGTTGCATACTCAAATACAAGGGAAGATAGCAGTACGGTGGTAACTAGATGGCACTGTCTTGAGCGTCTGGTTTATGCGGCCGTTGTTGCCGGACGTAGCCAGAATAACAAATGCAGCCGTGTTGGAACAGACAAAAAGCCGTGTTGACAGCCAAACTCCCTGTCCCGTGACGGGGCTAGCCGATGTCAGAGATTGCACCACCCGGAATCTCAAACTCGAACATACCTCTACTGGCTCGCGAAAGAGCGACGGCAGCTAGGTCGCCGGTGAACTTTAATGACTACCCGACACCGCATATTCTTCAACAACCAATGTCTGCGCTGACGCTGAGATGCTTCGAAGGGCTGGGTCTCCTTGCGAACGAGAGGCTAGATCAGCGCAGGTCGGTGCAAGACTGGTGCTCAGTTTTTTGATGTGATTTGGGCTCCGCTGCACACCTCCAACTTGTGCAAGAAGTCCTGAAGAACACTCCTGAACCCTGCACCAGACTAAACCGAAGCCCTGAGGGCCTGAGGGGACGTAAGAAACGTGCATACACCTGCGGTCCTTGGCTTCCAAGAAGGCGTGCGAGGTGGCACCTCGCCGGTGTCTGGACACGTCGTTTCACTTAACCGTCTTCGCCAGTTCAGTCGGTCTGCCCGGTACCAGGGACGTGTGGTTCAGGGCATTTTGGCAGCAAGAAAGAGAAAGGTGCACTGAGGCCGGATAGCCCAGACTTGTTTCCCACATCCATCAAGGACTAGGAGCTTCGTCTGTCCTGTCGTCATTTCTCGACACGCCCACCGCTGGAACCCTGCACACTGCCTGCATCAGCCGCTACTCGCAGTGGCTCCTGCAGCACCTGGTCCAAATCCGATTAAGACTCAGCTTTACGATTTGGCGCCGGACATTGTTCTCACCAGAGCGGCTTGCGGCTTGTACATCGGCCGTTCACTTCGGAATGCTTTGTACTGCTTCGCTGACCCTGTGTCCAAGCCTGTCCCTGCGTTGTATTGGGTCGTCTTCGTCGGTATGCAGTCATGAAGGGAGTCGCCAACTGCAACATAATTCTTCAAAAAAGCCATGACAACTTCCTGACGGAGATGTCTAAACTAAAAGGCTTGTCGGCAAAAACTTACTTCAGGCATGCTTCTTGGTCGGTCGGCGCCGTCATCTGGCCACTGCTGCTCTGCGCAGGAGCACCTTGAAGTCAGGAGAAGCCAGGAGCAGAGTTCTCCACTCGACGGTGCTTGAGTTCGGAGGTAAGAGCACTTGCAAATGTTCTCATGACGAACCTCGCATCTCGTGCAGAACAGTGGGAGAGTGCTCTCGTCGGCGAATACAACAACATGATCTTGATGTGGCAACGATCATTCTTTACTTTGGCATCTTGGTAGCTGCTGCTAAACCCAGCCCGAAGAGCTTGGCGGGGCTGCCATGGATTTCTCTCCCGCCGAGAACGGGGCCTGCGGAGCCTGCAACCGGTCTGGAACTCAAGCTTGTCGATAAACTAACCAACCCCTTGTGATGAAGAGTCGCTGACGCTCAACAATTACATTCGGATATAATGACGAGTCCCCGTGTGTTTGTGTGTGCGTGCGTGCGTGCGTGCGTGCGTGCGTGCGTGCGTGCGTGCGTGCGTGCGCGCGCGTGCGTGCGTGCGTGCGTGCGTGCGTGCGTGCGTGCG